GAGCTCCTGACTATTTTTCTCTTCCTCTTCAGAAGATGGAAGAGAGCATTTCTAAATTCGTAAAACCTAAAAAAATTAGGATTTTAGGAATTTAGAAATGTCGCGTAAGGGCCAGAAATCCTAAAAAAACCTAAAATCCTTTTGGAAAAGTAGTGTTCAAGGAACCGGAAATTTCTAAAATGTCAAAAATTCCTAAAATTTCTAAAATTCGTATTCTTCCTTAAAAAAGTTAAAAATTGTAAAAAACCTGAAAAGAGAAGGCCTCAGAGAGGCGCAGATGGACCACAGGATTTTTAGAATTTCCCAAAATTCTAAAAATTAACGGCCCCAGCAAACTTAGATTTTCAGAATTTTTTGAATTTTTGGAATTTTTACAATTAAAAAAAAGGCGGCCTTTTAGAATGTTAAGAATTTTGGATTTTTAAAATTTAGAAAGTGGAATATTCTAAAAAAATAAAAATAGAATTTTAGAATTTTGTGGATTTTTAAAATTTTACAAGAAGCCGAAAATTCTAAAAAAATCTAAAACATGAAGGCGTCAGAAAGGCGCAGAGGGACCCCAGGACTTTTAGAATTTCTAAAAATTCAATAATTTTTTAAATTTTAAAAACCCTAAAAGTTAAAGTCCCAGGAAGGCATGTTTCTTAAGAATTTTTAGAATTTTTGGAATTTTCAAAATTTTAAAAAGGCCGAAAAAAACATAAACTTCGGGCGCACTCCTGAAAGGCGAGGGACGCGGTGTAGACCGCGGCGAAGCCCTGGGGGTATGTGGAGCTTGCGGCTCCACTCCCAAATCATCCAGGCCGTAGCGTGCAACCTCCTCTGACACTGCTTGTTGCAACCGCCTCAAGCGGCGTGCTTGCCTGGCATCTTGAACTGAGCCGCGTTGCCTCAGTGAGAACCACTCAAAGCACCATTTCATAGCCTCCCAAATGCCGATAGCTGCAACCAAAGCCACCATAGCCAGTCCTCCCATGGGAAACTAACCTGCAAACCACCTCCAACCTCAACCGGGGATGCCCTCGACACCTGTATCAGCCATCCAAGCACCACAGCTAGTCTGGCTAATACTGCAACCGTGCCGTTGAACTTGGCCATGCTCCCAGAGGAACTTGAGCGCTCCGGCTCACCGCGAGCCTCCGGGGCTTGTAGGCCCCACAGCCTCAAAAGTTCTTGAAGACGGGGACGATGGAACGCTTTCGTCCCCAGGTCACCAAGTTGGCCAACGCCGGGAATGTGCTCTGTCGTGATCTCTTTCAGCCTGACGGCTTCCCTCAAATGATACGCCCTGACCCGAAGATGTCGGGTTTTCCACGTGCCAGCAGACTCACTGCTGAGGCCGACAGCAGCGGAGTTATCGACCTTCAAAACCAAGGTAGGCTTCGCGCTTTGGAGCTCATTCGTAACTGCAATGACTCCATAGGACATCTGAGCAGCACTAATGGCCTCTATCAGCTCTGCTTCTGCCCCACTTAAAGCAACTAGTGCCTGACGACCACACCGCCAGGCCACCGGCTGCTCCAAATACCTCGTCAGGCAGCAGCCTACACTCCGGGAGCCATGTGGCGCAAAGCTCGCGTCGCTGAACCCCTCCACATAGTGATCCAGTCTCCGCGGGCGGTAGTAGAGCTCAACATCAATCGTCTCCTTGAGGTAACCAAGAGCTCGTAAGCCTATCTTCTCGACAAGGGCTGGGCATTTCAAACACCAGGAGGACATAGTAGCCACGGTGTGAAGGAGATCAGGGCGGCTCTTGCCGCTCAGCCACAACAACTCCCCCGTAAGGGCTTGGGCCCTCCTCAATTGTGGCTCGTCATACTGCTCCTCCGACGCCTCGTTTTCCCCCAGAAAGCCATTCCTGCGGGCAAGGGATCATATATCCCCTTGTTTCTGTCAGTCCATGATGACGTAGAAGCTCTTCGATATATCCTCGTTGGTGTAAACGAATGACGCCGGAGTCCTCTCTTATGATCTCCAACCCCAGAAACCTCAACGGACTCGTCGTTGATGCCCAAGTGAGCGGTGATGCTTTCCACTCCTCTGTAAGCCAGGAATGAATGGCCACTATCACGCTCTGTAGGCCCACGTACAGGATATCGTCGACGTACACGTTGACATAGGCCTGTGTCTCCTCCTTACCATCAGCAGCAACCACTACCGCCGACCATATGTTCTCGTCGGCCCTGTGCTGGCGGAGGTAGATGTAGCCATCGTTGTAAAAGATCTTCGCTGCCCGAAGCCGCCGGTCACGAAACTTTCCCCAAAGGCGCGGCGGCCTCCGGAACCCATATAAGGCTCTGTCAACCCGCCATAGCCGTAAGGCATACTCAACCTTGGCCAGCTGGAACACCTTCGGGGGGTACAAGGCGTAGGAAGCATCATCGTCTTCATCCTCCTCCTTGATCGGTGCCAGAATGAAGGCATTCCGGATATCTGTAGAAGCCACCAGCCAGCCATATGCAGCCGTGTGCACCAACATGATGCGTAGAGCGTCTATCTAACAACCTCCAGCGTACAAATCTTCCTTACCCTCCTTCCCTTGAAAAAATTCCCACATATCACCAACCTTGCCTTCCTCTTCAAGAACTTTCCAAAACACCAACAAAGTCCTCGGCCTCCTCGTGGGGGATCATCGAAAGAAGGTTCTCCTCCTCATCCAACAGCCGCCGAGTCCACATCCTGACCCACATCTCTTCATCATCATCATCATCACAAGGCGGTGGAAACCAACCAGGACCGTCCAGTAGTGCAGGCATCTCACCGTGCTCCTCCAGAACCGATACTTTCCTCAGGTCACCATGAGGAGGAAGATTAAACCCTAGCGCTTGTAGTTCATGTCGATGACTTGCACTCAGTTTTCCGTGCTGTCCCACCGTGTGCGCGATAACCGTCCACTTGGGGCCACCATCCCAAGACATAGTCTTGTGCAACTTTGGGGATCCACCTCCACAATTCTGTCTCGCACAGGACTCACAAAACCCTGGACCACTGCATCTGCCCCATTTTGGACCGTCACGACGGGGAGGCCTTCTCGTTGACCTTCCTGCCAGATACCTCCTCCAACGAAGTTCCCAACAGTCAGCACGTAGTTCTTGGAAGTTTTCAGGTTGAAGCGATCCTTGTGAGCATCTGTACACAAATCTCGTGCAACCGTCATCGAAGTAAAAGAGACATCTGCCCCACAGTGGTGCTGGAACATCGCCATCAAGTGGGAAGGCAAAGAATTGTGTCTTGTCGTAGCCGTCGTGACCCCTGACCATGGACCCTTCTGGTAAGCTCCCAACGTCGTATGTATAGGCGGCGGGGCATTATCCTTCCATGCCGAAGCCCGTTGCTTCTTGGTTCTTCTGAGGTTCTCATTCTGGAGGACTTCCAAACAATCATTCATCGAAAAACGGCCTTCACTAAGATATTCAGCAGCGAGGTCACCTCGGGGTCCTGGACCACTGGATTTCATAGACTCCTCAGATGAAAGCTCCAAGGCCTTTAGGGCGGCATCATCAGACAACACCTCATCGGACGACGAACACACTTGATCACCAGCCAGGGCCAAAATAGCACGCAACGCATGAGCACCTTCTGCACCGTCTTCTTGCCCATCCCATAAACCAGGCATCAAACCCACAGCGCCAGCGAGCTCCACAATTGACGACTTCCTCCGAATCCTCCGGGCCGGGGGAGAGGGCGCTTCTGCTGCGCCTTCGTCTTCTCTTGGTGGTTCCTTAAACTGCCTTACGTTGGTGGTGTACTAAAGGTTCCCTTCATCGGTGAGGACCAAATGTCCGCCTGGTACTGAACGAGCTGGGCCCAAATACGTTGCACTCATCCACCGGGGCTGCAAATCGAAGCGTCCACCTTGGCCATAGCCCTTCCTCTTGGTAAACACCTTTGACCCGAATCTTGCAACTGCAGGCAGCTTTCGGCCAAACGCCACAGCTTGATGTTGAGCAACAGCCGTCTCAGCAGCGAACGGCCACCACGTTCGTACCGCATCATCCTCGGCACCACTAAGTTCCTTGGCCTGTCCCAACAGCACCCTGATTCGGGCCTTGATCGCTCCGACCGCTCGTTCAGCTGTTCCATTTCCAGCTGGGTCCGATCCCTGGGTGCGGGTCACTTCAATGTCCCGCGCTGCTGCCCAAGACTCCAAGGCGTCCGTTTGCAACTCGCGAGCCCTGTCGCGTGCAACTTGCACACCGGAAATCCATTGGAACGAAGCTGCACATAGAGCTCTTGTACCGCTCGAAGAGCGTCCTTCTTCTTTCTCGACTTCATGGGCCTTGCAAGGTAAACCGAAGTAAACTCCAGAGGCGAAGCTGGCTCTCCATTCCCAGCGGCCTCCTCCTCATCCAGAATCCAGTCCCTGCCATCATCCGGAACAGGCCCCAAACTCTTAACATCATCGACCCCCTTCACTGCGGTCACACCCTCCAACTTCGGAAAACGATAGCAGCCCACCATGAGGTACTTGTAGCCACCCGCACCATCCTTCCGAAAAGGGCCGGCGAGGCCCACCGCCAAGCTGTACAAGCTGAAGGGTGAGCCACCTTCCGGTGGGGTTTTCCACTGGCCCGCTCGACGCAGACCCGGCAATCCCTTCGGTAAGGAAGATGATCTCGTTGTAGATGTAGTTTCCATTCCTTCACGTCGCACTTCGCCAAGGAAGGAGCGGAGTCCGAGGGGATTGCGTCGAACCAAGGAGGCCAGAAGGCCTTCTCTGTTTCGTAAGCCCTTCCAAGATTGAAGAGCCTCCGCCACATGAGCAACAAACTCCATAGGCCACACCGAACCAGCAGGATCTCCAGCCTCCAGGGCTCCCAACTTGGCATTTCTCAGATGCCATAGGTCCAGACCCCACCAAGCAGCACAGGCCTATCGTTGAGAACGCATGGAACTTCACCCATAAGGTCCTCTTGGGCAAAACTTTTCCACATAGGATGGTCGAAGAGGGACACCTTGCCCTCCTCTGAAGTCGGATGCTCCAGCATGAACCCAACATGCGGTTTGACAGGCGAACCACTCAAGGATCCCTCTCTCCACGCCTTAAGCCGGCCCACCTCTGCCATATACCACAACATCAGCATGCACGCCACAATCTTGAGCTCCTTGATCTGCTGAGGGGACGTAGCTTGAGCGGCCGCATCTACTGGAAAAGCATGTCTCGGTGGACCGCCAATGATAGCCTTGACCTTGCCCGCCAACGCAGCCCACGCCAGCACCTTGAACACCGCATCCTGCCGAAGGAGGTCCATATCCTTCGACGCCGTGATGTCCACATCCACAATCCCATCACCACCATTCAAGGAATTTGACCAAAAAGCACGCCTCATAATCTCCTGCTGCTTGGCCTCTCTTGTGCGCTCATCTCCAGAGCACAGGTGCACAATCCACCCATCGCTTTGAAACAGCGACCTTCTCTTCGCCCTCGACCAAGGCATTCCCTTCAGGAGCTTCCAGCCGTCCTTGGCCTCCCTGGGAACAGACTCCGGGAGTCCCAACAGCACCTCTGGCGGTAGCGCTGCAAACACCGGGGACGTGTGAAGAAACCCAGCCATTGAAGTGCGGTCTCCATCTTCTTGAAGGGACTGGAGGTGCTTGTCATAGCTCCATCCGGCCTTGCCCTGGTCACGAATAGCCTTCACTTGCAGTTGGAGGTCCGCCACCGTCTTCTTGAACTCCTTAATCCGTGCTTCTCCGCTATGAGAGTCATTGCCTGAGAAACTGGAACAACTGGACACTGGCCCCGCAACCTGACCCGCAATCGTCCATGTAGAGGATGAACAACCGAAAGCCGTGAAGGGGTCCATGACACCTTGCAACCCAGTAGACTAACCAACTCCATGGGGACGATCGCCTCCGAGCTGTTGTCACCCAAAAGAGTGCCGCCACGGGTTTGTCGTAGATGTCGTTCCTCTCCTGTAGGCAGCGTCACTGCTACCATTCGAGTGTTGCCGTCGCTATCCTCTTGTCCAGCAGCTCGGTAGGCATGGCTAGCCCCACTATCCAACAACGCTTCTTCCTCCTCAGAACCACTTGCTTGGATAGCCACCGTCGTTGAACTCAACCTGGCTTCGTACCAGTCCACAGCACTGTTGAAGGCAACACCTGAGGAAATCAAAGGGGCTCCAGCGTCCTTCACGGTGATCGCCTTGAGCCGACGCACCTCATCTAGCTGCTGTTGTATCATTGCCAGAGGATCCGCAGGAGGTGTGGGTCCGGAACTCTCAGGTCCAGACTGGGCCTGAAACGCTTTGAGCATCTTGTTGGTCTCATTCAAGATCTCCGTCATCTTGGCCGCATCGATCTTGTTGGTTCCCGCTGCCGCCACCGTAGATGAAGAGGACGATGAGTCCTCCGGCGCTGCTGAGGGCGCCTTTGCCGGCGAAGTAGCAATCGAAGGTGCCGCAGTGGTAGACGCACTCATAGCTGCCGTCGTTGCCTTCGGTGGCGGCGGGGGAGGCTTCTCTGGAGGTCCACTGTCCTTTGTAGGGCATTCCTTAGCCCTATGCTGCTTGGACCCACAAAGCAGGCACCGCTCACCTCGATTAAGACCCGTCCACGAATTCTCAAAGGTACACTGTTTGCCATTTCTGCATCCATTGTCCGAACCAAACCATTGACATGGCTTCTTCTGGCCTGGCGGCGTCACCACCGCCTTAGCCTTTCCCTTCGCGGATTATAGTGTAGGCTGCACACCCTTCAAGGACGTCGTAGTCGTTCCGGTCGCCCCCGTGGTGGCCGCCGCTGTAACCGGTGTAGCTGCAGTGGAAGCCTTGCGAGAACCCGCCCCTAACTGCTCCAGCTCGGCCAGCAAGTGTTGCAAGAACCTCATGACATTCGCCTGGCTCGGCCTCCGCTTCCGTAGGTAGGGGCCTGTACGCCGCTTCAGTCGGCTGAACACCATACAGACCACCATCACTTGGTCCTTGGAGTAGGTCACTCGCATTCCTGCGCAGGTACCTTCCGCGCATGAGGCCAGAAATCGAACCCGACCTTCCGGTCCGACCTGGGCTCCCAGAAGCATACGGCTACGGCCTTCAGGACTTGCACTTCGAGACACTCTGTCACGCCGGAAGGCCGACTCATCCCGCAACCTTCTTGGTGGAGGATCCCGTAGGTCAGTTCCGGCTTCTTCTCCACGAACACCAAGAGCACCCTTCTGATTCCGATGTTCTGAAGCACCATATTCTACAAAGAACGCAGGGGCACCACCTACCCCTGGTACATTAAGTGAACGACGACCACCACCGCCCTCCTGTGCAACAACACTAAAATGGACCCGATCACCCCCTACTAACTCCACGACTGGTGTGCTGAGCCCGATCTCCATGCGGTACTGCAGGATTGATTGAAGCCTGATCACCCTCAGGTACGGCAGAAACGCTCAAGGCCCGATCACCCCCTAGTAATTACTCCACGACTGGTGTGTTGAGCCCGATCTCTCTGTAGTACTGCTGGATTGTAAGAGGCCCGATCTCCATGTGGTACATTATGGACACTCAAGGCCCGATCACCCCCTAGTACTCCACGACTGGCGTGTTGAGCCCGATCTCCATCTAGTACTGCAGGATTGTAAGAAGCCCGATCTCCTTCTAGTACACCCTGGATGCTTGGAGCCCGATCACCCCCTAGTACTCCATGACTGGTGTGCTGAGCCCGATCTCCATGAGGTACTACATGATTGTAAGAAGCCCGATCTCCTTCTGGTACACCCTGGATGCTTGGAGCCCGATCACCCCCTAGTACTCCATGACTGGTGTGCTGAGCCCGATCTCCATGAGGTACTGCATGATTGTAAGAAGCCCGAACTCCTTCTGGTACTGCAGGATTGTATAAAAGTTGCTCTCGAAGCTGTTGATTCTCCTGCCTCGCTCTCCAATCCTTGTTGTTGCGCACGAAGAGCCTCTTGTACCTGCCGTCTGACTTCGGCCTCTACAAGTTCACGAGGGATAGATGCAGAAGACCCATCTTCAGTTCCAGGCGAACTCCTCTGCGGCCCATGAAGAAGGGGGCCTGAGATGGCCACGACTCCATGACCCTTTGGGCGCTCCTTCCGAATAAAGGAGGGTCTGCAGTTGCTGCCGCAGCAACCTCTGCACGCGGTCCCTTTGCCTCTGCCTGCGGAGTTGCAGGCTGCGAAGTATGCTGGACCTGCTGTTGCATCAGAAACCCAGTATTCGTGCCGCTCGCCCCAACAATCTGCTGTCTGGTCATCGTAGTCAGCGTTTCCACAGCAGAATGTTGTCGAAAGAAATCTCCCAAACAAAGCCGCCGGGACCTCTTCCAGATCTCTGGTGCCAGCGACCCGACCACGGTCGATTTCCTGCGGTTGGGCTGGCCAGGCCTCTTCTAAAAAAGCCCCACCTTCTCTTCCAAGACGACGTACATCCGGAGAGTAAGGCAAGGACCCAATATCCACTTGAGGTTCGGCTCGAGGGGGATGATGCAAGACACCGTTCGGCAACTGAGGCCTATCAGGCCGTGGCCCTTCGTAGTTCGGTCCCGCAACTTCTCCTTCAAGCCTGGCAGGGCCCACTTGCAAGCTTGGCGAAGCCACGGTCGTAGATTGGGCAGTCATAGCCTGTTGACCCTGCGGGTCACGTTGAGCGGGCGAGGAAGCCATGCCTAAAAAGTAACTACGTCTTCTCCGAAGGGTAATCCCGAAAACTGACAAGGGCAGCCCTCAAACAGGCGACTCCGCAAAGTCCGAAATTCCAACCCTTCCCCTCAAACATCCAAAAGACACAAAGCCCTTGAAGGCAAAAAACCCAAGGGCTACAGGTGCCTACCAACGCACCAGAAGGTGCTCGCTTCAGCAACCTGTATGTCATTTCTTGAGCCACCACACGCGTCAGCGCATCAGTCAGAGCGGCATCTGTGCATACGCTCATGTTGTGAAGCTTCTCAGAGCGGCATCTGTGCATACGCTCGTGTTGTGAAGCTTCCGAAACTCGCAACAAACAAAACACACAGCTGCGCTATGTCCATGCCGCCACATTATCACCAACAAAATTCTAAAAATACCGAGGGCCTCAAAAGGCATGTGTTTTTTAGAATTTTTGGATTTTTTAAAATTTTTAAAATTCCAAAAATTCTAAAAAACATGCCTTCCTGGGGCCTTTAAAATTTTTGAAATTCTAAAAATACCGGCGGCCTCAAAAGGCAGAATTTTTGGATTTTTTAAAATTTTAAAAAAGGCCAAAAATTCTAAAAATTCTAAAA